GGGCTCGTGGCCAGCGGGCTGCCCCCGCCCCACCCCCAGTTCCAGAAAGTCCGTGGGATTTTTAACAAAGGAAGCAGCACCTTGGGTGCTTTCCATCTGTGGTGAAGTTCAACCTCGCAGAGAAAACGGGACTTAAGGACGTTCGCGGCTGAGGGCAAGTTTCCTACCTAACAAGCCCAGGAGAACCCCCAGAAGCCCCTTTGGAGGTCCGTGCCTGCGGTTGAAGTAGGAGGGGAGGGGGGAAAACATTTCTGATCTCTCGGTGTCCTATTTTTCTTCGGGAAAAAAAATAAGGTCAGGTGCTTGCAACCAGGCTGAAGTAATTCAAAAATCTTTTTGTTTTCTTCCCCCCCCCCCCCCGCCCCCCTGAAGGTTGACATACATTTGAAACTCTACCTGGCAGTCGCCTTATTGCTGAATAGGGATGGCCTGGGGTGGGGTTGGAGGGTGGACAAGGGTGTTAGAAAACGAGTTTTCTGTGTTTTGGTAACAGAACGGCTGAATTGAACCGTGCTTCGGGGCGAGGCTTTATTGTCTTTGACAGCCGGAAGCCTGGAGAAATTACGTTCATCCCTTGGTGCTGTTTTTAAGTAACTGTCTAAAGAAATTGTGCACTTGGCCACAGTGGGGCGGGGAAAGCCGGAAGCGAGGGTTTGGAGGCTGATGGTCGCGGAGCGAGGTAACTGTAACTACCGTAGGGAAGCTTGTAACTGGTTGGATGCGCTCCCCGACTTGCGCTTTCTGCTCGGCGTCCTCATCCCCACTTTCCACCGCGGGTACCAGGGTCTGCGCTCTTTGACCAAGATCAGCTGCAGCGTGCTTACTCATCCGTTTGCCATCTCTCTGTCCAGTACTGGGGGAGACATCCTTGGGGGGGTCAAAGGCTGAAAGAATGGGGTGCCAAGAGTCATAGGGGTAACTCATGTTATAGTGCCAAATCAGAGGGGATGGATAGGTGGCAGCCTTAACAGCTGCAGCCCTTAAGTGACCATGCGTCAGATCGAGGCTTAAAGTCACTCACTGTCCCATTCCCAAATGCCGTTATGGAACCTGGAATCAGCCTTAGTTGGCAGCCAGAATGCGAGCTCTTGCTTTTCTCGCTCTTCTCTTAATTTCCTCCTCTGCGTCTTAGAGAGTGGGACCATGACTTCAACCCGAGACAGTGACTTAAAGATCCTGACTTATTTATCCCTTTAAATTCTTGAAATGGTGGTTCTAGTCTTCAGTGAGCAAGTCTAGTGTTTTATCACTGTTATGCCGAAGAAGTGGCTTACGCCCAGTTGAAATCCATTCTGTTTTACCTTCCTTCTAATCGATGTCCTCCTGTAGACGCAGAAGTAACAGGCCACCCCTTAGCCTTTTCTTCACATTTATTTTAAACTGCTGTTTGTTAAATACTATACTAACTTGATCTCTGGTGAGATCGAGCAACTTTTAGTCCCTATTTTCTTTGGTTTGCTCATGGCATGTCATGTTTCTGCAACCTACTCCATTTTTTTCATATTTATTTTCAAGTGTAATCATGATTAAAGCAAAACATTTTGGAGAAGTTAAGTTGCTCTCAATCTTGCATTTAAAGTTGTTTACCTTTACTATGAGCCAGGATAATTTGTAGTTTTGGTAGGTTCTTTATTGGGGGGTGTTGAGGGGGGTTGGTTTTTTTGCCAGCATGATTGTATGTACTCTGCAGTATTCAGACTTCAGGAATTTACTTATGTATTTGTTTGCAGATGGTGCTATGCTAGAGAAATTTGAGTTCATGTGTTTCTAGGTTGTAATCATTTGTCTTACTGAGCTGTTTTGTCCTATTGACTGGAGGTAAAGAGTTACAGGAAAAGGTTCTACATCTTTCGTAGAATGTTCTCTCTGTTAAATATTTATGCCTGTTTGACTACTAGAATATTTGCCATTGTTACTGTGTCACATTACAAACTTTATTTTAGAAGTTTACCTTAACTAAAACTACAAAAATGCCATGATTGTTTTACTACCTGACTTTCAAGTTCAGTATTTTTTGAAAATATTGATAGAACTACCAGTAGGGAAAATACACATCTAAGATAATTCATATAATTGTGTGGTCACTCCCGCCCATACTCTTCCAGTTATTCACAGTGTTAAAACTTTTAAGGATGTCAACTATAACTCAGTGTGCTTTCAGGGATTGTTTTGGTGGTGACCTGATGTACCAACTCACATGCATTCCATTGTTTGTATTACAACCAACCAAGTAACCCCACATTAAGAGGTAACTAAACTTAATCAAGTTAAGTTGTAATCTCAGGTAAGCTATCTTCATTTTGGTGCATCTTTCTTTCACTGGAATCTTAAACAGAAAGCTTTGGTAATCTAGCTTACCGTTAGATCATAATCAAAAGCTGTCATAGCCTCTTATGTAGAGAGCTGTTTGTCAAGCCTCTTACATATGATTAACAAGAGGGATGGGATCACAGGCATGTGAAGATCATAAGTGAGAAAAATGAAACAACTTTGCGGTTTGATAAAAGGCAATTCAGCAAAAGTACTCAAATTATTACCTTGTCAAAATGTTCTAGGTAGTATTTAGATACTTCATAAGGAAAGATGTTATTAAATATTTGTTGTTCCCAATAGAACACAATCAAATTGTATTCTGACTTATTGTCTATTTTTAAGTTATCCTGTTGGGGTTTTTTGGACACATTTTGCTGAAAAATTGAAAGGTTACAAACAATTGTTGTCATATATAAAATCTACCAGTATGTGAAATCGTATATTTAGGTGCTTAATCTGATGTTATATACTTGGTGGGAGTAGTCCTGTAGTGGCCCCTTTGTATTGAAACTTGAAATTGCTGTTTTCAGTCTCATTGTTCTGTACAAGAGCATAATCAGAACTAGAATGTGTGGTTATAACTTTCTAATGCCAAATGTTGTTTTGTTGTACATATAGGTTATATCTGTCTGTACTTCATCACCCCAAAAAGAAACCCTGTACTTATTAGCGGTCACTCCCCACTCTCCCTTCCCCTTAACCGCTAGCAACCCCTAGTCTCCTTTCTGTATCTGTGAACTTACCCATTTGAACATTTCATATAAATGGGATCATACATATGTGGTCTTTTGTGATTGGCACCTTTCAATTAGTGTAATGTTTTCAGGTTTCATCCCTGGATCAGTACTTCTTTCTCGTTTATTGCCAAATAATACTCCATTATGTGAGCATAGCACATTTTTTTCTGTTATTTGTCTGTTGGATATGTGAGTTGTTCCTAGTT